TCGAACTGCCAACGTTTTGGTAGCACCACCAGGGATCCTTATATTTAAAAACTTCCATAAATACCAGTAATAAAAAACCTGAAAATATAAAGGAGGATAAGATTCCACTCATAATAAATCTGGAAACATAAAACAACTAGAAATAAAATTAGTACAAAACATATAGGACTTTCTTCATAAGATCAGAATTTTAGACTTAAATAAATGGAAAAGTATACTGTGTTCCTGGACGAAAAAACACAATATTTTATCACTAGAGTAACCTATAAATCAATGGAATGCCAATCAAATTTCCTCAGGATTTTTTTTTAATTTGACAAATTGATTCTAAAATTCAACTGGAAGAATAGATAAAGAGTATAACTAAGAAAAATTAGAAATAAATGAATAATGAAATACGGAGCTGGATAAATGAAATAGAAGAGAGTTCAGAAAGAAATCCACAAATTTATATAAATTGAGTTTATGCTAAAACTACAATTTTGAATCACTGGGAAGAGTGGTCAATAAATGCCATTGTAAGATTCTGTTTTTCATTTAAAAAAAAAGGTAGATCCCTACCTGAGGCCATTAATAAAAGTAAGTTCCAGATGAATTAAAGAGTTAAATGTTAAAATAAAATCTTAAAAAGTACTGTCTTAGTTATCTAGTGCTGCTATAACAGAAATACCACAAGTGAATAGCTTTAACAAACAGAAATTCATTTTCTCACAGTTCAGGAGGCTAGAAGTCCAAATTCAGGGTGCCTGCTACAGGGTCGCTGTGAGTCGGAACCGACTCGATGGCACCTAACGACAATAACTCTAGGAGAAGGCTTTCTGTATCTGTCTGCTCTAGAGGAAAGTCCTTGTCTGTCTGAGCTTCTGCTCCTGGGCAATCTTCATGTGGCTTGGCATGTGTCTTCCCCTGTCTCTGCTTCTCTTGCTTGCTTCATTAATCTCTTTTAGATCTCAAAAGAGATTAAGTCAAGATACATTCTAATCATGCCCCTCATTAACATAATAAACATAACCAATCCACCACGTGTCTGTCAGTTTGTCATACGGTGGTGGCTTGTGTGTTGCTGTGACACTGGAAACTTTGCCACTGGTATTTCAAATACCAGCAGGGTCACCTTTAGTGGACAGGTTTCAGCAGAGCTTCCACACTAAGACAGACTAGGAAGAAAGACCTGCCAGTCTACTTCTGAAAAAAGTGACCAATGAAAACCTTATGAATGGCAGCAGAACATTGTTTGATATAGTGCTGGAAGATGAACCCCTCAGCTTGGAAGGCACTCAAAATACTACTAAGAGCTGCCTCCTCAAAATAGAGTTGACCTTAATGAGGTGGATGGAGTCAAGCTGTCGGGACTTTCATGTGCTAATGTGGCACAACTCAAAATGAGAAGAAACAGCTGCAAACATCCATTGATAACCGGAACGTGGAATGTACAAAGTATGAATCTAGGAAAACTGGTAGTCGTCAAAAATGAAATGAAACACATAAAAATCAATATCCTAGGTGTTAGTGAGCTGAAATGGACTGGTATTGGCCATTTTGAATTGGAAAATCATATCATCTACTATGCTGGGACTGACAAATTGAAGAGTAATGGTGTTGCATTCAACATCAAAAAGAACATTTCAAGATCTACCCTGTAGTACAACACTGTCAGTGATAGGATAATATCCATACACTTACAGGGAAGATATCATTAATATCACACACAAGTAAAATTTTTCTGAAGATCATTCAAAAGCAGTTGCAGCAGTACATCAACAGGGAGTTGCCAAAAATACAAGCCGGATTCAAAAGAGGACATGGAACAAGGGATATCATTGCTGATGTCAGATGGATCATGGCTGAAAGCAGAGAATACCAGAAACATGTTTACCTGTGTTTTATTGACTATGCTAAGGCATTCGACTGTGTGGATCATAACAAATTACGGATAACATTGTGAAGAATGGGAATTCCAGAACACTTAATTATACTCGTGAGGAACCTGTACATAGACCAGGAGGCAATCATTTAAACAGAACAAGGGAATACTGTGGTTTAAAGTTAAGGTGTGCATCAGGGTTGTATCCTTTCACCATACTTACTCAATCTATATGCTGAGCAAATAATCCAAGAAGCTGGACTATATAAAGAAGAACAGGGCATCAGGATTGGAGGAAGATTCATTAACAACCTGCGATATGCAGATGACACAACCCTGCTTGCTGAAAGTCAAGAGGACTTGCAGCACTTACTGATGAAGATCAAAGACCACAGCCTTCAGTACGGATTGCACCTCAACATAAAGCAAACAAAATCCTCACAACTGGACCAGTAAGCAACATCATGATAAATGGAGCAAAGATTGAAGTTGTCAAGGATTTCATTTTACTTGGATCCACAATCAACGTTCATGGAAGCAGCAGTCAAAAGATCAAATGATGCATTGCATCGGACAAATCTGCTGCAAAAGACCTCCTGAAAGTGTTCAAAAGCAAAGTGTAACTTTAAGGACTAAGGTGCGCCTGAGACAAGCCATGGTGTTTTCAATCACCTCATGCACATGAAAGCTGGACAATGAGTAAGGAAGACCGAAAAAGAATTGATGTCTTTGAATTATGGTGTTGTGGAAGAATATTGAATATACCATGTACAAATCTGTCTTGGAAGAAGTACAGCCAGAATGCTCATTAGAAGCAAGGATGGTGAGACATTGTCTCACATACTTTGGACATGTTATCAGGAGGGACCAGTCTCTGGAGAAGAACATCATGCTTGATAAAGTAGAGAGTCAGCAAAAAAGAGGAAGACCCTCAATGAAATGGATTGACACAGTGGCTACAACAATGGGCTCAAGTATAACAACTATTGTAAGGATGGCGCAGGACCGGGAAGTGTTTCGTTCTGTTGTACATAGGGTCACTATGAGTCAGAACAGACTTGAAGGCACCTAACGACAACAACCAACAATCCTCATTGATACAACCTAATCCTGCCTCAGTAACATAACAAACACAACCCATTCACAAATGGGATTATAACCACAGGCAGAGGTTAGGATTTACAACACATATTTTGGGTGGACACAATTCAACTCATAACGTACTAAAAGTTAATGCAAACTAATCTGCTTGTAATCTTGGAGTGGGGAAGGTCTTTTCAAGCACAACACAAATCCAGGAATCGTAAAGGAAAGATTGACAACCTTGACAAGACAATATTTAAAAGACTATGAACTAAGTTGAAAGAGAAATGGCAAAGTAGGAAAATATTTGGAACACAATATATATTGACAGTGTTACAATCCTTAATACAAGCATCACAATAGGAAAAACTGGGCAAAGGATAAAAATACCCTAGTTATAGACCAAGAAATATCTATGGACATAATGATTCCAATTCTAACAATGTATTGAATATTTTGGATATTTGGGGAAGTTTTATTTGCATTAGTGAAAAGCGTACATATGCCAAATGTCCACTAATGAGAGACCGGTTAAATTCATGATGGTACATTCATAGTGAATAACTATATAGCCATTAAAAATGGTCTATACAAACTAAAAAGGAAGAATGCCCCTTAAAAATTGTTCATTTAAAATTGCAACTTGCACAAAGTATATATAGCAGGAGTCTATTAAAATACACATATGAAACATATACATATAATACATATATGAACATACATTTATACTTAGAAAAAAGTCTGTAATGATATAACTCAAATTTTTAGTAATAATAATAGTAAATACTTACATTGCAGTTATTACATGCCAGGCATTGTTCTAAGTAATCTGCACATATTAACTCATTCAAACTACCCAATACTCCTATGAGGTAGGCACTATTTTTCACATTTTACCGATGAGGACATTGAGGCCAAAGAACAAGTTACTTAACTTGTTCAAGGTCACACAACCAATAAGATAATTATCAGGTGTATCCCTTCAGGGAGGAGAAAGAAGATATGGCAGTCTGTACAGCCTTCGAAACCCTATGGGGTAGTTTACTCTGTCCTATAGTGTAGCTATGAGTTGGAATTAACTCGATGGCAATGGGTTCGTTTTCTTTTTCCCTTCAGTGAGACTCTTCACAACAGCTCAGTCACTATTCTTTAGCCACCCCCACCCCAAAAGTGATAGCTCAGATCATGGGAACAAGACCACATGGTTTGTGTGTGAGAGCGCCCCTGGCTTAGAAGGCCTAAGTGCCACGTAGGAAACCAATATCTTTTGTGACAACCTATGGACATAGCTTCCATGTGCCTGCAAATTGAATGCCAGCCTCATGCCACTGTGCATTCAGGGAACCTCCCGCTTGTGCTTCCCACAGGGTTATTGAGTTATTTATAGTTCATTTGTAGTCCTTCCAGTTCAGGTTACTCAATTTACAAACCAGGGTTTATTTCTACCAAAAGCAATGTTGTCTGGTACACAGCTGATGTTCCATTTTTATCAGGTTTCCAGGGAATAAATTACAAAGGGCAATTTGGCCCTATCGATCAAAATTACAAATATACATAGCCTTGGTCCAGTGATTCTATTTTTAGGAATTTATCTTTCAGAGACACCTGTACATGTGTAAAATTATATACATATACATATAGTTATTCATCACAGTATTATTTGTAATAAAAAATATTGGAAATAACCCAAACGCCCCTCAATATGGGACTGGTTTAGTTATGGTTCATTTGTACAGTAGAATACTATGCAACAATAAAAATTATTGAAGCAGTCCTTTATGTACTGATTTAGGGTGATCTCTAAGATAGCAAGGTGCCACCATTTGTATAAAAAAAGGTGACAAAAGTCTACATATACCTATTTGTGTATACACAGAATATCTCTGGAAAGCTAGACAAGAAACTGGTAACACTGATTACCTCCAGGTGAACTAAATGCCTAGAGGGAATAGTTGATGTATTCCTTTTTGCATTTTGAACCATGTGAATGTATTCCTTATGGAACAAAATTAATTAAATTTTTGAGAAACAAAAAACGTGAAGAACGACTAACCTTTGGGCTCGGTAAATGTATTTAGAGTTTCCCGTGAGCCGGTATAGAAGCAGGAAGACATAGGCACTGCCGGCCACACCATGGCAAATCCCTGGCCCCTTCTTTAGCAGGCCCTTCTGCCATGTGAGTTCCCCACACCGGATACACGTGTCCAGGTACTGTGGTTTTTTGGACACCAGATAAGCTTTGGCAAAGAGATAGGCAATTCCTGTGAAAATATCAAAGACATTAGAGGTGACTTTCAGGACTTAATACTGTAAAGTAGAATTTCTCAAACTGTAAAAGAGTCACCAATCACCTGGTATATTGAGAAAATGCAGATTCTGATCCAGCAGGTCTGAGATTCTGCATTTCTAAAAAGCACCCTTCCAGGAACCACACTTTGAATAGCAAAGGTATAGAATATTCTACAAGGGAGTCCTGCATTTTCCCTGTGAGACTTAGTTTTAGGTAGTTGTTTTAATTGTATCATGAGGTTGGCCCCTGGAGAAAGACCAGTATTTTAATTGAAGTACATAGATTGACAAAATCCATAATTTATGAACAGGTTAATATTTAATGAGGGATACTTTGGTAAGTATTACGCATATCTGGCCATTTGGAATGGCTAGATGTTTATACAGCTTGCCCATTCCCCCACAGAGGTTCAGAATTTATAATGTTTAAGTACTTGTAACTATCCACCTTTTCTTAAGAGCAAAACTGGGAGTCCTTCCAAGAACAGCAATGCTCCCAAACAACCTTGCCAAGACTCCTACTCCAGCTGTGAAGTAATTCCTTCCCAACTTGACTGTTCCAAGGAAAGAAATTTTCCTTCAAAACCCATCAACAAAGGTAATATCAATTGCAAAGCCAGGAATGGAAACGAGAGAAGCTATAGCTATTAATAGAAAGAATTTTCCACAAGTTCCAGGTGCTCATATTCAGGGCAGAGGTTATTAAGATCACTCATTCTCCTGCGTAGCTTACCTTTCTCCTATGAATAAAAACTGGAAAAGACTGAAAGTTAGTGGGTATCCTGACTTGCTCATCCATTTGAGTTATCTCTGCCTGTCATTGTCTTTGACTAGGCTATTTTATAGTTCTGTAGAAATAGAAATTATCTTCTAGAAAACTGATTATAATATAAATAATTTCTGTAAATAGGAACACACATTCCACCTGGCAGAAGTTGGATTGACTCCTGTTTCTGTAGAAGAAATCAGTTTTGCATCTATTAGGCAAATTCATTTCAGCTTTCCTTAACCAGCTGCCAATTGTGGAGTCAATTCCAACTCATGGCAACCCCATGTGTTTCAGTGTAGAACTGCTCCATAGGGTTTTCAAGGCTGTGATCTTTCAGAAGTAGATCACCGGGCCTTTCTTCCAAAGTGCCTCTAGTGGACTCAAACCACCAACCTTTTGGTTAGTAGCCAAGCGCTTTAATCATATGTACCACCCAGGGACTCCTCAGCATTCCTAATGGCGTATACATATGCATGCTCATTGGATTCACCATGGTTATAACACCTCTCTGGTTCCCTCATTAATTAATGAGTTAAAGAAAATAATTGACATGTGGTTCATTTTATATTTATATGAGTCATGATTTTATCATTTTAAAGTCTATCCTTTACCACTCTGTATGATTAATACACACATTAACAAGAGGCTCTTTCCTTAGCCAATGCATTCCAGTCAAACACTATCCTTACCTATAGCATTTCCTCCTTTAATTTTAGGAACAAAGTACCTCCCACAAACTAAAGGAGGACTTAAAAAGAATTGAACTGATTTATTTATACAGTCACTCATTCACTTCATCCGTTCATTTTAAAGTGTTCATCGATTGGATGCATAACCCTGGGCAAGGCAGGGTTCATGAATATGTGACCTGTGCAGTCCCACAGGGCCTTGCTCTCAGAAGGGCCCACACTGGGCCCTGCTCTGATATTGCTATTTTGAAGTTCTTTTTTTTTTTTTTTTTAATTTTATTGTGTTTTAGGAAAAGTTTACAGCACAAATTAGATTTTCATTCAAAAATTTATACACAAATTGTTTTGTGACGTTAGTTGCAATTCCCAAAATGTGTCAGCACTCTCTCCCTTTCCGTTTCCCCCGGGTTCTTTGTGTACCTTCCTCCAGTTGGCCTGTCCCTTCCTGCCTTCTTGGGAGCCCTTGGTGGCACAGTGGTTAAGAGCACAGCTGCTAACCAAAAGGTCGGCAGTTGGAATCCACCAGCCACTCCTCGGAAACCCTATAGGGCAGTTCTACTCTGTCCTACACAGTTGCTATGAGTCGGGTATACCTGCCTTCTCGTCTTTGCTTTAGAGCAGGTGTTGCCCATTTAGTCTCATATACTTGATTGAACTAAGAAGTATGTTCCTCACGTGTGTTATTGTTTGTTTTATAGGCCTATCTAATCTTTGGCTGAAAGGTGGACTTTGGGAGGGGCTTCAGTTCTGAGTTACAGGGTGTCCGGGGGCCATAGTCTCGGGGGGTTCCTCTAGTCTCTGTCAGAGCAGTAAATCTGGTCTTTTTTTTTGTGTGTGTGAATCTGAATTTTGTTCTACATGTTTCTCCTGCTCTGTCCGGGACCCTCTATTGTGATCCCTGTCATAGTGGTCCGTGATGGTAGCCGGGCACCATTTAGTTCTTCTAGGCTCAGGCTGGTAGAGACTGTGGTTCCTTTAGTCCATTAGTCCTTTGGACTAGTATTTTCCTTGTGTCTTTGGTTTTCTTCATTCTCCTTTGTTCCAAACATGATGAGACCAGCAGACATATCTTAGATGGCCTTTCGTAAGCTTTTAAGACCTCAGACGCTACTCACCAGAGTAGGGTGTAGAACATCTTCTTTATGAACTATGTTATGCCAACTGACCTAGATGGCCCTTGAGACCAAGGTCCTCAGCCCTCAGCCCTAGTAACTTGGTCCATCAGGGTGTTTGGATGTGTCTAGCAAGCTCCTATGACTTTGCCTTGGTCAAGTTGTGCTGACTTCCCCTATACTGTGTGTTGTCTTTCCCTTCACCCAAGTTAACTTATCTACTATATAGTTAGTGATACCCCCTCCCCACCCCTCCCCTACCTCATAACCATCAAATATTGTTTTTTTTTTTTCTGTGTGTAAACCTTTTCTCGGGGTTTTATAATATAAATATAATATTTGTCCTTTTGTGATTGCTTTATTTCACTCAGCATAATGACCTGCAGATTCATTCATGTTGTGAGATGTTTTGCAGACTCATCATTATTCTTTATTGTTGCATGGTATTCCATTGTGTGTATGTACCATAATTTACCGATTCATCTGTGGATGGGCACTTAGGTTACTTCCATTTTTTTTGCTGTTGTGAATTATGCTGCAATGAACATGAGTGTGCATGTGTCTATCCATGTGATGGCTCTTATTTCTCTAGGATATAGTCCTAGGAGCGGGATTGCTGGATCATATGGTATTTCTATTTCTAGCTTTTTAAGGAGGCGTCATATTGTTTTCCATAGTGGTTGTACCATTTTAAATTCCTGCCAGCAGTGCATAAGAGTTCTGATCTCTCCGCAACCTCACCAACATTTTTTATTTTCTGTTTTCTTGATTAGTGCCAGTAATATCAGGGTGAGATGGTATCTCACTGTAGTTTTCATTTGCATTTCTCTAATGGCTAATGGTGGTGAGCATTTCCTCATGTGTCTATCAGCTGACTAGATGTCTTCTTCGGTGAAGTGTTTGTTCATATCCTTTGCCCGTTTTTAATTAGATAATTTGTCTTTTTGTTGTTGAGGTGTTGAAGTATTTTATAGATTTTAGAGATTAGACACTTGTTGGATATGTCATAGCCCCAAAATTCTTTTCCCAGTAGATTTTCTTTTTACTCTTTTGGTGCAGTCTTTTGATAAGTATAAGTGTTTGATTTTTAGGAGCTCCCAGTTATATAATTTATCTTCTGGTGTTTGTGCATTGTTAGTTATGGTTTGTATTATATTTATGCCATGTATTAGGGCCCCTAGCATTGTCCCTAGTTTTTCTTCCATGATCTTTATTGTTTTAGTTTTTATTTTTAGGTCTTTGATCCATTTTGAGTTAGTTTTTGTTTATGGTGTGAGGTATGGGTTCTGTTTCATTTTTTTACAGATGGACATCCAGTATTGCCAGCACCATTTGTTAAAGAGACTATCTTTTCTCCATTTAATGGACTTTGGTCCTTTGTCAAAGATCAGCTGCTCACAGGTGGATGAATTTACATCTGGATTCTCAATTCTGTTCCATTGGTCTATGTGTCTGTTGTTGTACCAGTAGCAGGATGTTTTGACTACTGTAGCTGTATAGTAGGTTCTGAGATCAGGAAGTGTGAAGCCTCCTATTTTGTTCTTTTTCTTCAGTAATATTTTGCTTATCCTGAGCCTCTTTCCTTTCAATATGAAGTTAGTTATTAGTTTTTCCATCTCATTAAAGAATGCTGTTGGTATTTGGATCAGGATTGCATTATATCTGTAGATTGCTTGGGGTAGGATTGACATTTTCACAATGTTGAGTCTTCCTATCCATGAGCATAGTATGTTTTTCCATTTATGTAGGTCTCTTTTAGTTTCTTGCAATAATGTTTTATAGTTTTCTTTGTATAGGCTTTTACGTACCTGATTAGATTTTTCCTTAGTATTTTATCTTTTTAGGGGCTACTATAAATGGTATTGTTTTCCTGATTTCCTTTTCAAAGTTCTTTTTGTTGGTGTATAGGAACCCAACTGATTTTTGTATGTTGATCTTGTATCCTGCTACTCTGCTGGATCTATTAGTTCCAGTAGTTTTCTTATGGAATCTTTGGGGTTCTCTATGTATATTATTATACCATCTGTGAATAGGGATAGTTTCACTTCTTCCTTTCCAATTTGGATGGTCTTTATTTATTTTTCTTACGTTATTGCTCTAGCTAGGACTTCCAGTGCAATGTTAAATAGGAGAGGTGATAAAGTGCATCCTTGTCTTGTTCCCATTCTCAGGGGGAGTGCTTTCAGCCTCTCTCTTTTGAGAAGTTGTTGACTGTTGGTTTTGTACAGATGCTGTTTATTATGTTCAAGAATTTTCCTCTTATTCCTATCTTATTGAGAGTTTTTATCAGGAATGGGTGTTGGACTTTATTAAATGCCTTCTCTGCATTAATTGAGATGATCATGTGATTCTTTTCTTTTTTTCTGTTTATTCTGTGGATTATGTTGATTGAGTTTTTAATG